GCAAAGACAAATAAACAACCATGGTGAAGTCCGAGAGGCTGGAAAGTCAATGTCAAGTGACAACCATCGCAATTTTCGTGGGGTCTGAAGAAAGTTTCCCCAGTAAACAGTAAACGCCTCTTTGGTCCTCCGGTTTTACAAACGTACGAGTGCACAAGATGGATATGAACGGACCAGATATTCTCATTTTTCCTCGGCCTTTGTGCTTTTGCATGAGGCTTCATTTTTTTTCGCATCAGCGCCTAGGGCTATTTCGTGACTGTGTCTCACTTTCATTTGCCTCAGGCAAAACCAAACGTTATCCGGATTCAAACATGTTAGCCAAAAACATGGTGACAAACCAAATTCCTGATGCATCATTAGTTATTTAACTTCATGATCATATGACTGGTAGCGGGATTAGTCAATCGATCGATCGCGCGATCGATCCCCTTCAATGATGTTTCGTAATGTGGTTCAGCTGTTCGAACCAGCTACCAAATACTATAAATATCAGGATTTCGCCTAGAATGCTATGTAACGTGCCTCGTGCATCGAAAAGATGCCGCTGGAACTGGGAATGTTTACATTGCTTTGCTAATTAGACTGAGTATTTCAAACAGTGAATACATTTCGTAGATTTTCTTTCTTGGATCGGTACAACACGCCTCCTAATCAGGTTGCTTAAACTCAAGGGCAGTTTTGAGAGGAGTTTGTGTACAACCGCCACACGTACAGGCGTGCGGAGATGACGAATTGTGGATTATAAAGAAGGTTCTTCATGTGAGTTCAGAGGTCATATGATTGTGGTCGTGCGCATGATAGCTACTGTAATCGATTTCACGTGGAAGTTAGTAAGTGATCTGCTTAAAAAGCCCAGATCTCGAGGTTTGGCTGACTACTCAGGACCGAAAGATAAACCGTTGGATCATTACCTGGTGACTGAAATCTTAAAGTGTGGTTTTTGTTCCGGTAAGTTAACAGTTAGTTTCTCAGACTGTTACCGAAACTCTTTCGCAGGACGAAATACAAAATCAAAATAATAGTATCATGGACTCAGCTGTATTAGGCATAAAATTAGGTATATATCCCTAATTCACATCTCCTAGTTTGTTAGGAATTAATAGGGGGTTTAACTGGCCATGAGGTGAGAGACCCAATACACGGAAAAGTATGCTTAAGGACGGAGTTGTCTTCACGTTCATATCAACCGTCAAGATGTGTCAAACCAGTACCATCTAGCAATTTACATCAATACCCCCAAAGCACCTGAATGAAATCGATATCAGATCCACTCTGGAAGTCACACAAGGCTTACTAATGACACCGATAGATATCGGCTGTTAGTCAGAGGTGTGGTGACTCGACAGTATAGGCATGACGGGTAGTTAACATCTTCGATAGCTCAATCGGTATATCAAAAGTTCGGTGGCTTTAGTCTGTCCGTAGGCATGCGGTTTCTTTCGTACTGGGTTTCTTATTTCAAAAACTGGTATTTCTTGGTTAGAAAATGGCATTTTTGAGTGTACCATATGCTCATCTAATCTCCTCTCCAATGAGAGATGATCTAGATGAGCAAGAAACGACCGCTGCATGTCACACACCAAATAGATGAACACATGACATAATTGGATGTTTTTGCACCATAATTTTTCTAGCTTACACCACATGATCAGTGCCTTCCCGGTTAGACAGAGTAAAGCCGCTTCGGCCATCCTGTATAATTAGTGAATCAAAATTCTATGTAACCAGCTGGGCCTGTTCCTACATGGAAAACGGACCACGATAGAACCCATTCTAACTCCAGAGGGCGAGCATATTATCTGTGGACTGATAAGGAAATACGGGGATCAGCCGATTTAGGATTTCAAAATCTGTTGGAGTCTAGCTGGCCCTAAAAGTTTATTTCCATAAACGAAAGAACTCCTGCATAACCCACCTTTGTAACTCTTACAAAAATGCTTCTTCGTGAGAAGTACGGATTCTAGAAAATCTCATTTCTTCAGTATTAGAATAGATGACATCACTAAAACTAGAACATTTTTTGAGGAACTCTCAGTGGATCTCTTATAATTCACGGGTTCAGAATTTAGAATTCACCATGAGAATGCAACCCCTCCTCCGTGTATAAATAGGCAGAAACAATATCGTGTAATGATGAAAACGTATGATAACTAGAGCAGAATCACAAACAGGGACATAGCCTAACATATGGATCTCGGGTAATAATGAAGGAGAAATCAGTAATTTTGTTTGCGGTAAATTGTTGTGTAGGCCAAGTGTGTGTAGAATCCCAAGTCTTAGCTTAAATGCACTCATTCTAATCATTTTCAGTGGACATAAGTAGTGTTCACTTTGTCTAAACAATCACCCAAGTTATTAACGTTAGTATTTTGAATGATCTTAATTTCGACAAGTTTAGAGGCGTTCCAAAAGTGTGAGCCAAACTAGAGACAGATTATTTTTGAGTACCGTGGTTTCCGTAAACAAAACCAAGACTTAAAGTTTGTTCCATCAAGAAAATGTTCCTTCCTTGTGATCTGGTTGAGATCAAAATGAGTTTGAAAGTTCCAAAACATTTGCAGTAGTTTTACCCATTTTCTGTCAAGTAGTAGATGCATGGGATCACCTTAGTTATCCGTCCAACCTGGAAACATCTGAAAAATTCTTTAAAATCTTACGACTTTCACCTTATTTAGGATCTGACAGTGACGGATTTCCATCAGACAACAACGCAGAGCACTGAAGTAGTGTGTGTGTGTGTGTGAGTGGTCATTGACTAGATAAATGCAGTGGACGGCATGTGGTGCATGAGAATCAGATCTGCTGACAGAAATCCCTGTGAGTCTGAAAGAACCCCTTCTGAGCATAAAAAATTCCCAAAAGGGATGGGAAATCAGTTCGTTTACCAGTGTATCACCTCTGGTAATGCGGTTAACTAATAGGTGAATCAGAACTCGAGACGATTTGTGTGAGATTTACTCAAGGAAAAGTGCACATTACCCTTATATTTTTATTGAGGTAGTCTTGGGCTAAGTTCCTCCCTTAAAAATCCATATTTGTTTACATGGCATACGTCTTTATGTCTCCCAAGAAACCTCAACTAAACGGGGTATTTAGCTACGATATCTAAGTTTATCAAATGGCTTTTCAAATGACACGAGCCAGACCATCCCCCAAGAGTTCACTTTCAAGCTATAAAAGTGCAGAGGTGAAGCGTTCTTCATACAGGAATATTGACTACATTTTAGTGGAGTATAGTATACAGAGTTTACAAGAAAGGTTATAGGCTTATAGGTACATATCGATGGCACTTAAATGTAAAACATAGAGATCGGTAGATTGAGGTAGACGTATAATTTCGAGTCAAAGAAATCAGTGAATCATCTACTGCTGTTGCAAGTGGCGTGCGACGTATAGAAATGTACTTCTTCTGGGAGAAAATGCATTGTCGATGATGACGTCATATCATGTCGGTGATCTATTAGTTGTTGTAACGAATGCATTGCCAGGGACACGTTTATGGATTGCTACGTGATTGTTAACGTAGTATCAAGAAAATATGTGATGACATCATGATGTGTTGTTTGGCTGTTGTTTGATGCCACGTAGGCCATGTTGGATATCGGCCAACTAGTCTACAGTATTTGCCGAGACAAAATATATGAGTGAGAGTGAGATCGTGATAGTCGACCGGTCGCGAGCACGATGAGTCGTGAGGGTGAGGTGGTTGCTATTGTAACCAGGGCTGATAAGTTCGATTTACGCTTGGAAGCGATGAACAAACCGTGTTTTTTTTCAGCGAAACAATACCTTATTCAATGACATTTCATAAAGGTGTCAGGAAAGTGGCTCTACACCTGAAGTTCTTTCACTAATAAATACTTTGCACGGGTTTGGAACGGCTGATTAGTTCGATTTATGGTTGGAAACGATGAATAAACCGTATTTTTTTCGGCGAAAAAATACCTTATTCAATGACGTTTCATAAAGGTGTCAGGAACGTGGCTCTATACCTGAAGTTCTTCCACTAATAAATACTTTGCACGGGTTTGGAAACTCTCTTAATAACGTGGTATTTCATACATTTCACACACTTTTGTGTGTGACCAACTATTGTCTTGAAACAACCAACTAATCGGTCACCAATGAGGATACTAGTTTGTGTAGAATCCCATCTTCTGAAACCGATTGTATGGCATTGCGAGTTGTTATACGACATACTTTTACTGCACGCACTATTCCACCAAGCAATGTCACGGGCAAGTGAAATGAATGGTCGTTTCTCTGTTTTCCAGTTTCTTCTAACCGATCATTCACCTTATTGAAGCTACCTGCTTGATTCATCCATCCAATGACCTTATTTTTGGAGTAGTTTGACACTTGTGACCTATCTGGACGTTTGTCGCAATTTTGCCCTTCTGAATTTAGTTAGCTCAATGAGTAGTCGTTGACGTCTAATCTGGGTGGTGTCAATTCTGAGTTCGTTTTGTGGTATCTACTAACACTCATTATCTACTGAGGTGTACGGATATCAACAACAGGGTCCAAATTGACTGTCTGGTGAGAAGATGTACTCATGTTTGTTGTGGATTGCAACTTTTCATGTGTGATGGTAGTGAGGATGCGTAGTTTAATGCAGTCTTTATCTGCATTTTGTTTTTCCCTGTTCAGTAGTTGTAGCACAAATTGTGAGAACAATGTGTTTGACATCTGAGCCTCTGAGGTTGACTACAGACTATTTTTCAGTGGGCCTAACTAGCCAAGTTCTTTTGTCTTAGAAACGTGAGCTGGGTCGACACTGAGGTTCAATAGGCTACCACACCAGTTTTCAAACTGTCCACTTTTTCATACGAATAAGCTCTATCATGTTGCAAAGGGATTTTTGATAGGTGAATATTCGAAGCAGTTGTTTTATTTACCTGGTTTGGTTTAGCAAATGGGTATCATCTGATCACAAGCTAGCTTTTTTCAGCACTCCAATTCAAGATTTCCCTTTCGATTTCACCCCGCCATCTCAGGTCAGGAATGGGCAGATCGATGTGGCACAGTGCGAAAGTCGAGCTTCACCATCTTATCAAACTCGCGCTGCCTACCGTGAGCTGAATTTTTGTTTACATTTTTTGCCCATTTACTCTTGTTGGTAAAAAGCAACAAATAGTCCCGATTCATTCCAGTTATTCCTACTAGAATTCCAGTAAGCATTTTACAGATGCAAGCGTCAATTATGAAAACCTACTCAGCTGTGAATACCCACTGTCCTAAATAGTAGCCCATTAATTGTTTTGTAAAGACGGCCAAGGAACAACTAGCCGAAATGAGAGTAACGTGAATTAAAGTCACCCTTTCATTACTGCTGCTAGTTGGCGTTAACCACAGGTTCTAACGCATGACTGATCAAGCTCTTGTTTGTGGTGTTCTTTGAGCGGATTCCACCTTGAAATTCAGGTGGTATAGCGTTTAGAAAACCAAAGCATTTTTGTCACTCAGTAGAATGAGATGCCTGAGGGGGGTTGAAACTGATTCGGTACTCATGGTCAAAACGAATGCAAAAAAATGAGTGCTCCACTAAGCGGCAAATTTTTGTTCCATATGCAGAAAAGCAACACGGTGATCACTAGTAATATGCAAGGACTATTACGCTGTGCAATCGATGCTAATATATAAACTTCCAGAAAGAAGGGATGGTGGAACTAGAGAGCAGTAAAATTTCTCAAGCATGATTCCAAAAGACACACGGCATGAAACTCATGAATGGGGATCCGCTCGAAATGCACTGGGTAATTTTTTCATCTATGTTGTTCTTTGAGATAGTCCACTGGAATTCGCTTACTGCATGGTGAGCAACTCGGTGACGGAGAAAATGTGTCACTCAGCCATTGCGGTCTGAAGTGAACTTTGTTCTTCTCTCATTCACACGCATCCTAGTCTTACTGAATGACTGGCTATCATATAGTTGCTTTTGCATGCCATTTATTAAAAGCTTTTTCTGATTACCCGGCTTTGGAAGTTCAAAATGGATTAGAAACATTTTTGGTTGTGTAGAAAGTGGAAAACTGGTTCCAACCCTAAGTCAGGTTGTCGAATAGGTGACAGAAAAACGTGGGAATGACCGAGGTTCATGCGCCAGTTCGTCAAACAAGTTTCAACTCCAGCCATGGAAGACTTATTACGGTGAGGTGTAACCAACAAGCTTGGATTCAAGTAGAGCATAGGGTTGAAGGAAACTCGGGGACTACGCCTACCTGATGAGTCCCAAGAAGGGCGAAACCGGTCGTGGGCTGTCGAAGAGTTTTCAGCAAACTCGTGAGTGGTTTCCTTCATGAAAGCTTGTATATTGTTAGGTACTTCGGAAACAAACGTGTTTGGTGGGCACGTCAGTGGCATTTTGCGTTTATTTCCATGTGGGCATTGTCGTCTGTTCTGGTTTATTGCTTAGAAAAACTTTGACGAACTCTTTCACGCCCTGATTTCATCTATCTAGTCGGAAACAGACGTGTTTGGTGGGCACATCAGTGGCATTTTGCGTTTGTTTCCATGTGGGCATTGTGGTCTGTTCTGGTTTATTGCTTTGAAAAACTTTGACGCACTCTTTCACGCCCTGATTTCATCTATCTACTAGGCTCTGTTGAAGATTGCCAATGTTGCTTCTCTGAAGTATGACCAAAGGTTGGACTTCGAGTCTTAAAATTTTTAAGGACAAACTTTTAAAAATGATTTGACCAATTCCACCACGTGTTGGATTGTCCATTTTTTGTTCACCTCGCATATGGTTCATGGCGATTGCTGCTGGTAACAGGCGGTAGACATCTGTTGAATAGAAACATGACTTCATGTTCATGTGATGATTATGTAACAGCTACACCAATGGCCAAGGCACGTCCAACGTGGGAGAGAGAACAGACGGCGGTGATCGGGCTGCCAAATTGCAAAACTTGCCCCAGTATTCGTTTTTTTGTGAATATCAAGTTTCAGTAAATATGGATTGCGGAGAGAATTACTTTCGAAAACGTACCAGCAAAGGGGTTCTGTTTTTCTCTTGGGTTGCAGATCCTCATAGAGAAAACGGCACGTGCTCTACTGTTTAGAAGACAGGTGTAAACACAAAATACCCTGAGACATCTCCGCGCCCCAGACCATAATGTTTACTTTCGAAGACGTATCACTACGGTGATAAAAACGTTTTTGGCCTAAAGTAATTTCTCCAAAACCATTTGTTTCACACTGTGTCTTCTATGAGTCCGCTGAGTTTGGGTTGATCAGTCCAAGTAAGGTCAAAAATGCTAATGTGACCGAGCTTTCCGAGGCTCGATGGTATCTGACGGACTTTCGTGTTGATTACTTGGCGAATATTAGGTTTTACGCGGGGACGGACGTCTACTGAGGCTAACTGACTATCCAGTAGCTACCACTGGGTAGTGCGATAAGGCTGGAAGCATTTGCGCTTTGGGTTTTTGGATTCAGTCAAATCTACGCTCTGAAAATATAACATGCATTCAGGTAGTTTATTTAGCTTATCACAAAATGCTGGAGGAAGTACACTGCGTTTGCACTGATTCGAACAGTACCCAAAGCAAAATTTTTGCAGTGCTACTGATAAACCCAAAAGCGCACAAATATCTTCTAAGGTGGAGACATTTATTCAAGTATTTTAATAGGAATTCAATGCATTGCTGCGCTTATGTGAGGAAAGTGTCTAGAAATTAATCATTTTAAACAATGCACTTTCGTTATTGTAACCAAGATATTGACTTAAATCTAGTGACGATCCTGAGTAAACGATCATTTTGACTGCAAATGAATGATCTATTTACCATTTGTTATGATTTGGCCTCCATTGGCTTTGATGTAACAAGCCTAGCTGGATTGGCTAAACGCGTTAATCGCTCCCCAACTATGTGTAACGAAGCACCCAAATGAGTAACCACCTACGTCTTGTATGTGTGTGGCTGTGATGCAATTTACTTCGCTGCTTTTGTTAATATTATTACCTTCTATGAACATTCAGGATTTTGGTTAAAAAACAGTAACCAGTTCTACCTAAGGACATTTTTTATTTTTCTGCGTGGAGGACCGTTAATTTTTGTTGAACCTAATTGGCTTGATACAACGAGCTTGCCAGTCAGGATTCTTTGGCTTTCATGTCCTGCCTACGGTCTACAAAACTGCTGAAACATTGTGGAATGTATTATTTTCACAAAGTTTTGTAAATTCTTCACTGCACAGTGCACATCCGTTTTTCAGCTGGTGATCACTGGTTTAGCCGAGTCTTCATGTAACATAATCAGCACCACGTTAAAAGCCCGAGGGTGCTATGAGAATGAATCTAAATTCTAGTATGCACACCAGCTGGAATGCACGACGATTCAGTGTTTTGCGATGACTCTTTTCGTTTGCCGGAGTAAAAAACGATGCCCTGGATCTAACCGCATAAGATCAGGAAAGTAGTTATGATGTCTGATTTTCCAGAAATATTTAAAAATATCAGGAGCGACAGAGATACCATGCGAAATGAGTATAAGAGTAACCATTACCTACTTATTTTGGAGCTGATTATAGAACCGTCCGTTGACTGCACAAAATAGGACACGCCTATTAGGCGTAGCGTTTGTGATAAACTCCAAAATATCAGTCCGATTTCCTATTCATGCGACCAACCGTACACTTTACGTCCCAATATGTTTACGATGAGGCCAATCTAAGAACTTGATGTTCGGAAAAATGACTCAGATTACGCTGCTCTAAGTCACATCACAAAATCACTCTGTTTAGTTATACAACAATCTCGGTTCTTTTGTGCTAAAATATGCTGCCAGTGAACTTAAGAAGGAAGTAATATCGGTACTGTTTTGGAATATTGGTAGCTCGGGTATATTGGTTGGTAATTGATCAGGTGGCTGTTGATCTGTTCACCGAGCTTGGCAATTGATTTGCAAACGTTTCGTCACCATTCGAGGAGACATCTTCAGGGCGCTGG